TCCAACCAACAATAGTGATAAACCTTCAAAGGTTCTAATTAGCCTTAAAAACAGCCCCTGGAGTAAACATTTCAGAATCAAAACCAACCATATCTCAATCTTAATTATACACTTTAGATCTTGATTATCCTTTTTTTTTTTTATAAAATCCTCTGTTAAACCCCTGTTTTACCATACTTAAACCCAGATTTTGCCATAAAACTCACTGCATRTTACTTACCTACCCAAAATAGCTTCCGATTCACACAATAATCAACATTATCCTTTATAATCTTTCAAAAACAGAATCTAGCCTCTAATTTATACACTTCTACTTGAAATAAACTTGAAATTAGAAGCATACCTTTGATGATTAACACTTAGTCTTCAAGAATCTAACATGGATCTTCACGGTTTGAAGGTTTAATCTTAAATGTGTGTAAATCGCACCTTAAGTGTGGGTGAGAGTTCTAGACTTAGATGATATGGGAAAATGGATCAAATCTCCTATTTTATAATGCTAAACTCAAGTTGGGCCGGCTTGGCCCATCTAAGAACCCATTTGGATCTACAAACTCCCACTAAAATATAAACCCATTATAACCCAATAAATAATCAATTATTCTAAACAAATAATTGAATAATTTGGAACTTGGATGTTACAAATACCTCCTCCTTTTGAGGATTTCGTCCCCGAAATCATTGTTGTGAAAATAATGAAGGGTATTTCGCCATCAGCTCATCTTTGTGTTCCCACGTCCAATTTGACCCGTGATGATGTTTCCACGTCACTAATACCAAATCTACCTCYTTATTGCGCAATTTCACTGTCCGCTCTTTCAAGATACTTTCAGGCTCTTTGGCATATCGAAGTTTTTCATTTATCTTAACTTCCGACAAGGGTACTACCTCTTCATGTTTGCCCAAACATTTTCGTAGATAGCCGACATGGAAAACATCATGTATACCCGCTAATTCTTCTGGTAGTTCTAAACGGTAATCTTGTTTCCCAACCCGTTCAATAACCTTGAATGGACCGATAAAACGTGGACTGAGTTTCCCTTGCTTTCTAAATCGGAGCACACCACGCCGCGGGGAAACCTTCAGCATTACTAGATCACCGACCGAGAACTCGATCGGCCTTCTACTACGATCCGCGTAGGACTTTTGTCGATCCTGGGCCGCTTTCATTCTTTCTCTAATCACTTGAATTTTATCACTTGTGATTTGCACAAGTTCGGGCCCCGTCAACACTTTCTCTCCAGTTTCCCTCCAACAAAGAGGCGTACGACACTTACGTCCATACAAAGCCTCGAAAGGAGCCATGCCGATTGTCGAATGATAACTGTTATTATAAGAGAACTCAATTAAGGGCAAATGAGTATCCCAGTTACCACCAAATTCTAGAACGCATGCTCGTAACATATCCTCAAGCGTCTGAATGGTACGTTCAGATTGACCATCGGTTTGAGGATGATAAGCCGTGCTGAACGCATGTCGTGTACCCAACTCA